AAAAAAAAAAAAAAAAAAAAAAAAACTTTTCATCTTCAAATGACATTGTAAAACAAGTAACAAAAAGACAAGCCACAGAATGTAAGAAAATATTTGCAAATCATATACATGATAAGGATCTAGTATCCAGAATATATAAAAATATCTTACAACTCTAGAATTAAAAAAAAAACAATTTTAAAATGAGCAAAGCATTAAAATAGACAATTCTTCAAAGTAGAATGCATACAAATGGCATGTAAGAACCCAAAATATCATGAACCATTGAGGAAATGCACATCAAAACCACAATGAGATACCATTTCACACCCACTAGGATGGCTATAATCAAAAGACAATCAAAAGATCAAAAAGACAATAAGTGTTGGTGAGGATGTGGAGAAACTGAAATTGAAATTGAAATTGCTGGTGGGACTATAAAGTGGTGCTGATGCTTTGGAAAATTAACTGTTTATAATGTTAAACTGTTATCATATAACCTAGCATTTCTACTCCTAGGTATACACCCAAGAAAAATGAGAATACCTGTCACATAAAAACTGGTATACAAATGTTCATAGCAGCATCATTCATGAAAGCCAAAAAGTAGAAACAACCCAAATGCCTGTCAACCAATAATGCATGATAAATGAAATGTGGCATATCCATAAAATGGAATATCATTCAGCAATAAAAAAGAATGAAGTACTCACTCATGCTATGACATGGCTGAACTTCAAAAACATTATGCTAAGTGAAAAAAGCCAGATACACAAAAGGCCACATATTGTATGATTCCATTTATATGAAATATCCAGAGGAGGAAAATCCACTGAGACAGAAAGTAGATTAATGGTTGGGGAAGGAAGGGGAGTGAGGAATGCAGATTGACTACTAACAGATACCAGGTTCTTTTAGGAGTGAGGTCTGCAATTAGTGGCGATGGGTACACAATTCCAAAGACACTGAGAACCATGAGTTGTGTATTTAAAAAGGTGAATTTTAGGTAGTGTTACAGCTCAATTTTTTAAACTAGTAAAATTAATAAAACATAATATCACAACCAGTGTATTGAATATGGGTACAATCTACCAATGTTATTCATTGTTTCTCTTGTACTTTCAGTATTCTGTGTCTTTATAAAGGACTTAGCAATTATCATGAAGAATGTATATTAACATTTAAAAACAATAAAAACCGTACAATTATATATATAAGCCCTTCCTTAGAGCCCATACGATTATCTATACAAGCCCACCCCCTACAATTCTCATTCTCGGAAAGGTATTTGTAAAAATTGTACATTTTGGCCTCGGTATACGGTTTTATAGAATATTAAAACATAAAATTATATTTTAGCATATCGCCTCCCAAATCATCAGAAATATCCCTTTAGAGAGGGTGTGGAATATTTCATCGGATAGATACACCATAATTCCCTCAACCATCTCATTTTTGCTGGTCATTTAGAATGTTTCCAGGTACTTTGCTGCACACTGCCGCAGTGAGCAACTTTATTTTCTTGAGGATGATTTCCACCAGATAAGGGGTGGGTTACTGGTTAAGGATTTTGAACATGTTTCTGGCTCTTAACAATTTCATCTTGGCTCAAGATCCCCCTCCCCTGCTTCCTCCAAGTCCCCAGCCTCCGTCTCTGCAAAGCCAGACCCTAGAGGCTGGCCCCTCCCCCTTAGTCCCCTCCTCTCGCTAAGCTGTTACCTCCTCTTTCACTTGTGGGCCTCAGCCCCAGACCCCTGCCGCTCGTGTCCACTCCTGGCTCACCAGGTCTCCTTCTCCCCCGCCCGGTTTCGGGCAGCCCCCTCCTCAGGCAAGCCGATTGCCTGCCATGCGTCAGCTCTCGGCCACCCTGACTCGGGTTTGCCGTAGCCAAATGCAGTTTGGCACGCTGGCACGCACCATCCTTACCTTAGCTTCAGGGTGTCCCGCGCAGATGCCCAGGAAGACCTAAACTGTGGGTGACGTTTCGTTTTCCCCTTTCAGCCCATTCCAGCCTTCTGCGCTAGGGCGGCGCATCTAGTAGGCGCTCGATAAGTATCCAAAGTATTTTAAAAGCATATTGAAGTTCCTATGCTGGCTTTTTACTTTCGATCCCTGAAAGTTAATAAAGTACAAAACAATTTGCACCAGGATTAGATGTGATGGGGGATGGGGGTGGGCAGATAGGAATTATAAGAGAAAGTTCATGCATTCATTCAGTTAACAGGAATTTACTAGAGCACCTACTGTATGCCAACACTAACCACGACAGTGAATAAAAGACAATAAAATCGATAGTGTAAAAATACAGTGTGTTATATGGTGGTTCGAGCCAGGGAGAAAAAAAATCAGGCGAGGTAAGGAAACAAAGTGAAGCCACCCAGAAAAGGTGAAAATAGTAACAGGTAACAATTGGGTGTCTACTGAGGGCCTCACCTTCGAAAGCCCCTTTAAAATAACGCCACAACGCAGTGAGGCAGGAACGACCGCTCCCATTGCACAGATAAGGAGGACGTAAGGTGCAGAGTTGGGGTGGTTAGCCCCGAGTCTAACGCCTCCGCCCTTCCCCCCGAGCCCCCAGCCCTGGGCCCGCCCCTCCCCGGCAGGGAAAAGGTTAACGCCGGGCGCAGCGACGGAGAGTGTGCGCATGCGCAGAGCGCGGATTGCGCTTGCGCGGAGATCCGGGCGACGTGGCCGGCCGGAAGTGGTCTGTGCGGAACCGCCGCCGGACAACCCCTGCTCGCTGAACCCGGCTAGCGCAGGGCTGCTGCTTTGGGCCCCGCCGGCACCACCATGCTGAAGAAATTTGATAAGAAAGACGAGGAATCGGGTGAGAGGGCGTAGGCTTGGGGGAGGCTGGACCCTCTTACAGGCTCTCTGCACCCTCCTTGGGTGCCTCCTTCGGGGCCTCTGCCTAGACCTGAAGCCGAGACCCAGTGAGGGGCAGGGGCTTATGCCAAGGTCCGCAACTGGTCAGCGGCGGGCCTCGGAGTGCCCGAGCATGCTCCGCTGCCCCCACTCGTAAGCTCGGACCACGATTCGCTCGGTGACCTTGGGAGGGTCACTGTCCTGTGGGCCTCGGTTTCCCCAGTTGTCAGGGGAAGGGGCAGGGCCTGGTGAACCACTGTGACTTTCGCCGGGTGACCTCTTGGGATTCGCTGGGCTGCGTTGCTACTGGCCAAATGGGACATAATCTGTGGAGCCAATGTTCTGCGCTGAGAACCCTCTTTAATGTAACTACTCAGCAAATATGTATTGATCGCTTACAGTATTCCAGGCACTGTACTGTGTCCTGATACTGCAGTGGAACAAATGAGACACTCAGTGCCTGAGCTGGGAACATTAAAATGGTCACAGGCGAAGTCAGAGAAGATAGACATCAACCAGATAATGACACATATAATTAATTACAAATGTGACATTTGCTGTGAAGAAATCCTACTCACTAGATGATGGTTCCCGCATATTGTAAGGGATTCAGTTAAGTACAAGTTGCATAAATGAATGCAAGACACGATGCTATGAGAGGCACAGAGGACTATATCAGGGTTGCTAGGTGACTTAAGGAAGTGGTTTGAGGTAGAGTGGTAGGACCTATATGCAGGTTGTAGAGCTTTGATTGCCATTCTGGAGTAGTTTGAACTTGACTAAGCAGACGGTAATGACATCTTTCCCTTCTCTATGTCTCTGTATATGCAATTCAGGCTTACAACCTATACTCACTCTTCTCCATTCTCTGACTTTAGGTGGAGGCTCCAACCCATTCCAGCATCTTGAGAAGAGTGCAGTACTCCAGGAGGCAAGTGTCATTTGTCATCTGCCATCCCAAGTGTTCACAGTCAACGTGCTCAAAATACTATGGTTTAAAGAACAGTAGGGGAGAAAACCTGTTCCTGGAAAGACAGGAACGCTTTGCTCCTGGAGAGAGTTCAATACGCTTGCAGTTGTTCTTGTTCTGTGTTTCTCTTTCCAGGTAACACATGTTTATTGAGTATCTGTTAGTAAGTCAGCATGTCCCTAACTGATATTTAGGGCAGATTTCAGGAGTTCTTAATAGATGAATTAGGGAGAAAGCAAAACAAAACTTTCCTTATGAAAATAAGCTTATCCAGGCAAATGTATTTATTTACCCTGGGACTTCTCAGAGCTTGAATGTACCTGAGACGCAGTCAATGGAAGGGAAATAAACTAAGTCAGAAGGTAATGTTCTTGGTTGCTTCTTTTTAGGCCCGTGTATTTAACGAGACACCCATCAACCCTCGAAAATGTGCCCACATCCTCACCAAGATCCTTTACCTCATAAACCAGGTAAGAGAGTGAAGTTTGGGGGCAGGGAACATGGTGCTGGGAGTTGTTGGGGGCGTTAGCGTAAGTCACATAGCCCTTAGGGTATTTGATAGCTCCTGTGTGGATATAGCCCAGCTCTGGGTTCCCTCAGGGTCTAACTCTGATGTGTTTGTCCTTGATGGAGCCTCTGTAGGGTCTGTGGATGTGACCTGGGCTGATCTGGCAGGAAGAGCCTTCTGGCCTCTCTGTCCCAAGCTGAGACTTCGTTTTTTATTAAAACAGGGGGAGCACCTAGGGACCACCGAAGCAACCGAGGCCTTCTTTGCCATGACCAAGCTCTTTCAGTCCAATGATGTAAGTGCCCACAGTCAGTATGGTGTACCTTTGTGTGGATTGGAGTTTTCCTAACCTTGGCTTTCATGTTGAGTCAGTGGTCATAGGCTTTTCCTCTCTCTTTCCCAGCCCACACTCCGTCGGATGTGCTATTTGACCATCAAGGAGATGTCTTGCATTGCCGAGGATGTCATTATTGTTACCAGCAGGTGAGTCTTCGGGTCTGTGTATGGCTCCTTTGACGGGTGCCATTGACACAGAAGCCATTTTTACTCATGTGTATCAGGTGATGAGACTTTTGTTTGACATAATGTCAGGTGCCCCTTCCTCTTCTGTTTCCCTCACTTTTCAGTTACTGCTGCCCCTCCATGGCACTCTAGAGTGTGCAGTTTCCCTAGCCTTACCCGAGGCACAAACCCTTCCTTGCCTTGATTCCTCTCAGTCAACTGAGCCAGGCTGGAGCTTACGAAAGACTTTAGTGAGTGCCAAGAGAGAACACAAGAAAAACAGACATAGAGAATGCAGGGGGTATACGAACAGGTTCATTTCCCAAGTACTGGTTTCTGTGTTAGACTGAGTTATTCAGGGGAAAGGTGTGTCTAAAATATAATCCTTGTCCTTAAGAACTGGAGCTCAGTTCTCTTCTTGCCACAGTTTATGGGGGGCGGGGAGATGCTATACATTCCATTGTAGGTTGGTTTAGAAAGCATTTTTTGAACATCTACCAGTCCCTGTGCATAACTTTGGGAAGCTAGCAGCAAGTAAGGTAGACATGGCCTCTGCAGTCCCAGAGAAACAACCAAGGAGACAGGCATTAGAATATATAACAGAGTTTATCCGGGGAAGTATGATAGGCTGTGAGAACAGATCAGAAGGATATACAACTTGAATTTGGATCAGGAAAGGCCCCCTAGACCTGTCTGAGCAAAGTACTGAAGGATGAGCAAGAAATAGCAGGACAGTGCTCACTTCAGCAGCACATATACTAAAATTGGAACAACTCAGGGAAGATTAGCATGGCCCTTGCACAAGGATGACAGGCAAATTCGGGAAGTGTTCCATATCCCCCC